AAGGGTAATTTAGGCATAGAAAAGGGTAGTTTTATTAGGAATAGTAATTTTTAAAGTAGGGAAGGGATAGTATAGGAATTGTAATGGGTATAGGACTTTCTAGAATAGACTTTAGTATAGTTTTCAATAAAATAGGTGTTGTTACTTGGGTAACAAGTTTAAAAATAAGGGACTAAAAGCTGAAAATGAGAAGGACTAAAAAGAAAACTAAAAATCTGAAGGAAGCCTTAGGCTTTGCCTATAAAAGGCACACCCATTGCCTTGTTTAACAAGTTTTGGAAGATCTGAAAATTCCCCAAAAAAAAATATATGTTCTGCAAGTTTGTACAAATTTGAAATTTGAATTCCAAAATTCCAAAACCAAATCTGAAATCTAGAATTAGAAAGCTCCTTTTAGATCAACAAAAGAAAATACAGCAGAAAAACTCAAAAATACTGCTACATTGAAGCTCCTATTTAGATTGATTTAAAGTTCAGGTGTTATTTTGAGTTCCTAGTTGTTCCTAGTTTCATTTCTCCAGCTCTTTTGGTTTTATTCCAGTGATTTTCATCAGTTCATTGACTGATTTGGTGTCAAAATATTTCCTGGGTTAATTTCAAGCTCAAATGGGACTTCAGTCAAGTTATTTTAATCATCCGGTGGTTTGTTATCATTTGTAATCTGGTCCTGGGTGTCTTGACATTATTTTGGGTTGAAATTGATTTGTTGCTGCTGGCTTACGTCTGCTGCTTTGCTATTTGCTACTGATTCTCCTTCTTCTTTCATATTTGCCATAATTTCAGGTATTAACTCCTATCCTATTGTATTGGTGCTGATTCGAAGTGCATATGCAATAAGACTGCTCCTTCATTTGCCTCTGAAGACCGTGCCTGTTTGGACTGTGATGATAGACTTACTCATTAGTGTAGGTTTAAATTCTGATGATATGTACATAAATTTGAATTGTGTGATTAGGACTGTTAAGATTATTAAATTGAAGTATTCATTCAGTGGTGTTGTAGGTTAGTTTAGTATCATGTTCAATTAGATCTCGTTTTGTTACTGATATTGGAATTGTTCTGGACGGCTTTAGCCTGTTATAGACTGTTTTGAATTTCAGAACGTATCTAGTGATGATAGGCTCAATTTGTTTAAGAATGATTGTTAAGTTCCATTTGTTCAATAAGGTCAGTAGGTTCAATGGTAAATTATTCAATAAACCGTTAATTCAGGTCAAAGAACTAAAATCAGAAATTTCTGGTAATACTTGTTTTGCGTTAAAATCAGAATTCAGTCTAGTAGTGAAAAGATTGGCCCATTATTTGTTGAATTGGTATCCTTTAATTATAATTTGAGTTCTTGTGGGTGAGACGCACGCTGAGGCCCAAAATTGTTATAAGCCCAAAAATCCTTTAAACTATATTAGGAATATGAGGATTAATTTGCAAATATAAATTTAGGTTTTCGAGTTAAGTAGCGGGTTCAAATTAAGAGGGTCCTCCCTTTTGTTTGAATTCGGACTTGAACTTGAGGCCCGAATTTATAAATGCGAATTAATTAGGGCCCTTTTAGAGACAACACTGTAATAGAAAATCATAGTTTCTTTTAGGATGACCTTTAAATAAAACATGAGACGAGCCTCGCCGCATAAAACATATAAATTGCGGGGCCCTCATTAAATACTATGTTAAAATATTTTAGAAATCGGGTAAGCCATTTAGCAAATTTCCATGGCTTCCCGCAAAGATATCAACACGCTAGTTGTTTTAGGCGTGTTATTCAATAATTTTACCTTCCTAAACTCGGGTGTGCATTTCATGCAACCCAAATCCAAATCCCAAAACGTTGAATAAGAGGTGTTGAGGATCCGGGTGCATTTCATGTGACGTGATCCAAAAGCACGCTCTTAAACGGCGTTCACTTTCGTAAAAAATAATTAAAGCGGTAAATAATCTCAAAAATTGCATTATAGGTGGGAATGTGTATAAAACCAGATGTTTAGCCATTTATAATAATTTAAGCGACCGTGATAGAACCACGGGATCCGGGGGTGCCTAACACCTTCCCTCGGGTCAACAGAATTCCTTACACAGAATTTCTGGTTCGCAGACTCCAATTGGGAAGTCGAAATTTTCCTCGATTTGGGATTTAAGTTAAACCGGTGACTTGGGACACCAAAAGCTAATCCTATCCCAAGTGGCGACTCTGAAAAATAAATAAATAATCCCATTTCGAATAATGTCACTTTAAATGGAAAACTCCCTTATACATTTATCCTTCGGGGTAGATGTGTAAAAAAGGAGGTGTGACAATGGTGATGGAATGTTTACCGTTGGTCGTGGCAGTTCCCATAAAACGGGGATCATAAGACTCTATGATGACAAAGATTATAGGAAGTTTTGTTCTCAACTTTCTTCCAAGTCTGATCCGTACAAGCTTAATGGGATGTTGGTGATATTTCTTCGGATTCAGACAATGATTTGACTGACAAAAGTATGGAAATGCTAATCAAAAGAATTAAAGCTAAAACGTTTTTCTTGGTAGAGAAGGATGCTGAAAAATATTTACCTTTAAATTCTTTAANGCGACCAAAGTTGGTCGCTTATAGCCCCAAAAGCGACCAAAAAGCGACCAAACATGCCTGGTCGCTATATTGCTGGTCCCTTCACTTTAGGGACCAAAGTTGGTCGCTAATTAGCGACCAACTTTGGTCTCTAAGGTAAAATGACCAAATATTCCGGGTATTGACTATAGCGACCATCTTTGGTCGCTTTATTATTTTAATAATATAAATTTGGCGATCAAAGTTGGTCTCTAAATGTAAAATATATTATTTATTGATTTATTATTATTCATAAAACAGCAACCAACTTTGGTCTCTAATCCAAATATTATATTTTAAAATCTGGAAAATGGAGACCAAGGTTGGTCGCTATTTTTTATTTTTTATGGTCGCTAATGTCAAGAATTTAATTTTTTTTTAATGGAATAGCGACCAAGGTTGGTCGCTTTTTAAGAAATCTGGGTAAAAAGAGACCAACTTTGGTCACTATTGCCAGTCAAATTATTTTTTTTAAATGACAAGCGACCAAAAAGAGACCAAAGTTGGTCGCTTTTCTGGGTATTATTTTGGGAGAAACTGCCTGTTTTGGCAGCTACACCACCTGCCAGCATACCAAATCCCTATTACAAGCAACAACAACAACAATACCAACAACAACACAACCAAACAACAACAACAACATTAAAACCAACGAAGTATAAAGTTCAATAGAACTAACACATTAAGCTAACAAAACTAAGTTAACGCTTATTACAAGCTCATTCGAAAGCTAGTTCTATTGTCTAGTTCAAAGTATATAAAGTACTCAAGGAGTGTTCTTTCAACATCCTCGTCCGAATGTTGGATTGCCTCGCCCGACTCATTAGGTGGCTGACTGCGTATGAATTCCTCCACATCAGGTGTGAAGCGCACCTACAAGAAAAATTATATTAAATTAGTATTTCAAAATTTATATAAAAGTAAATAAAAATACTTAATGAAAAGTAAAAAACGTACATGTATAGTCGAGGCTCGACCCTCGACCCACCTTTCTGAATCAGTCTCTTTCTTCTTCTTTACAATACGAGTTTTATTGAATAGCTCATGATCTTGCTTCATTGGCATCATAAAGCTGTTTGGTGGCTTTGGTGATTATCCTCGGGATGAACTTGGATACAGAGAATAACTTGGATACAGTAGCTGACAGGGTGTGTCTTTTGATCAATTTTTGTTCTCGTTAGCGACAATGATGATGAGAATGCAATGACATGTGCTTCAAATAGTGATGGTGTAGGTAGGAATTTTAACATTTTCTAAGTAGATAAAAGAAAGATTATAGAGGAATTCTCTACTTCATTTTCCAAGAAGAAAAGAAGTTTAATTGATAGTGACAAGGTTGATGGTGATGGAATGTTTTCCGTCGGTCATGGCAGTTCCCATAAAACGGGTATCATAAGACTCTATGATGACAAAGATTATAGGAAGTTTTATTCTCAACTTTCTTTCAAGTCTGATCCGTACAAGCTTAATGGGATGTTGGTGATATTTTTTCGGATTCAGATAATGATTTGACTGACAAAAGTATGGAAATGCTAATCAAAAGAATTAAAGCTAAAACGTTTTTCTTGGTAGAGAAGGATGCTGAAAAATATTTTACCTTTAATTCTTTTAAATTATATATATTTTTATATTTTATACGTTTTATAAAATAATAATAAAATTATTAAAAATTTTATGTGGGTCCCACTTTAGCGACCAACATTGGTCGCTAATCTCAGTATATCTTTGACCAAGTAAGTCTGACCAGTCCAGCCAACAGTTTGACTAAATTTGCAGCCAAATAGCGACCAACTTTGGTTGCTAAAGTATTTCAAATATTTTTTTTATTATTTTCGGCAGTTTGGCGACCAACTTTGGTCGCTTTTCTTGACAGACCAAATTTGATCGCTAATCTTTGGTCGCTTTTTACAGGAATTCTAGTAGTGTCTAGTCAAAAAGTGGTGTGTAATATCTTACAGTAAGGTCTTTGTGAACTGTGATGTTTTGTTTCTATCTCTAATTTTATTAGAGCATTTCTGCTAATTGTGTAACTTCTAGAGACTATTGCCAGTATGGCCAATGGATGCATTCAGTAACGAAGGACCGCAAAGGAGCTTCAGAGTACTGTCATCATGGTGAATGCAAAAAATATTGTTGAAGTAAGAACTTAATAAAAATGGGAGATTAAGATTTTTAAAGCAAGTGAGATAAATAAAATAACCCAAAAATCATCAAGTGTTTACTAGCATGAATCACCAAGACCTAGTGTCACAAGTGTATGAACAACTAGTAGAATATACAAAAGAATACTACACTACTGTCCGAAGTGAAATAGACAGAAAATACAAGCAAAAGAAAGACTTCGGCTGCTGCAGAACGGGCTCAGGAGGTAGCTCACCCCAAAGTCTCATAGTATCAGTCAAGGATGCGCGCCGGACTGATATCCAGATGCACCTGCCTCAGATCCTACACATTTAGTGGAGAAGTGTAGCGTGAGTACATAAATAACATGTACCAAGTAATTATCCAGTCTAACCTCAAAGAAGTAGTGACGAGGGGTCAACTTTGACACTTACTATGGGCTAACAATAAAATGTCTAAACTATAACTAAGCATGGATTACATAAATATAGCTAAAAACTCAACAACAGGAAAAAAATAGGCAATCCTTTCACTAATAGTAAATCCCAAATTTATTTCCATCATTTAACAATTTATATTTCAAGCCAATGAAGCAATATCAATCATAATTGGTTCCAAAGGTTTATTACGCGCAATTTATGCCGAGGTCGTATGACCCGATCCGACATAGAATATTTAAACTGTGCACTATTGAGGTCGAAGGGCACGAACCATAGTTGCATCTATCTGCTACCGAGGCATTCAGCCCGCTCTACCAAAAGAGAAAATACTTTATAACAACCAATTTAAGATTTATTAAGAGGCTAATATTTAAAGAAATACCAAATCTCAATAACAGTCAAGTCTGTCCACAAATTCAAGTAAAATTGAACCTTTTACAATTCCTTTATCAAGTTCCAATATGACTTAAGCAATTAAGTTAACAAGTAGGGTGCAAATATCGTAACTATAGCATGGTATGGATCCTAGACTACCCGTGTAACACCCCGACAGGTAGTTTTGAGCAATTGCGTCCGATTCGTCAGTTTGAGGTCACGAGTAGCTTCACACAGTGTATTATGACTTGCATGCATCATCGGTTCGGGTTTTTGAGAAGTTCAGAAAGAATTTTTTAGAAGTGACTTTCATTTGAGAAGCTTGAAGTTGAAAGAAATGACCAAGATTTGACTTTTGAGTATTTGATCTCGGATTGGAGTTTTGATGATTCCGATAGGCTCGGGTTGTGATTTTGTACTTAGGCATACGTCCGAATTTGGATTTGGAGGTCCGTGGGTTGAACTAAAGCAATTCGGCGAAAGTTGGAAAAGTTGAAGTTTGGAAGATGGAGGAATTTGACCAAT